CAGATAGGCTGGGGTGGGGCCGGGGCGCGCCGAACCGAGGGGAACCGGGGCCAGGAGGGGAAGGGAGGGCCGGGCAGGCGCTCGCGCCACCACCGGGCTCCTAAGCTGCCGCCACAGAAGACGACCAGGCCTCCCTTAGTGCGCAAGCGCGGGCGTTGACGCTGACGCGCGCGCCGCCGCCCAAACAAAAGATCAGGCGCGTTCCCGCAAAATCCTTAAAGGAACCATTACCAGTTTCTTTTCCATTCTAGGATGTTTCCCAAGTCTTGTGCGATGAAGGCTTCTCATGGACCGAAATAGCCACTGAGGGCCTGAGTCAGGCGGTGGCTTTCCCAGTCTCACAGCCAGGACTGGCATTCAGCCCAGGGGTGAAGAAAGGAAGTGAGGCCTGAAGACCCGGAGGAAGACAGAGCTACATCTGGAAACCTGAGAGGCCCTTATGTTTTGTGACCCCAGGCCGGAACCTCGGTTTCCGCATCCAGAAACACAGTGCAGCTAAGCAGATAAGAAGGATTATAGGAATAGATATCCCAGTTCATACCCACAGCTGTTCCTCTGGCTTCGGGGATGGGCAGAATGGCAACAATGGGTGGGGGCTGGGTTGGGCAAAGGCTTTGGAGTTTGGCAATATTCAAAGACCCAGGTGTTATTTGGTTTGGCTGGTGCATTAGATGAACGTTGGAGGGGGGTGGGTACACCTTCATTCCTTCCTTTGCTGTGTGCTTTGTTCTTACAACAAGTCCAGCCCTGCCCTGGGGCTCTGTCCCGTAGCACTTATAGCCTAAAGGGAGTGGGGGCAACACTAAGAAAGTGTCACAGCAACCATACAGCAGTAATGGCATGAAGTCAAAAACAGCCCACTAGTGACGATTTTATACAGTTCAGTCTAATAAAATTGCAGCTGTAATAGGGTACTACTATGAGGAAGACAAGTGGGACTGGAAAACAGTGAAAGGAGATGCAGGAAAACTGGGAAGGGCCATGATAACTACGTTTTGTTCTGTGTTTTCACAGCAGTGGGAACTAAAGTATTTTAGAATAGGAGTGGGTTGTGGCATGATTAGATAAAAGGACGGCCACTTTGGAGCATGAACTGCAGGGGTCAGTGGGGAAGCGAGGAACTAGTTAAGAAGCCACTGCAGGTGTTCTTCCAAAAGTGATGGAGGAATGGAGCAGAAGGAGCCCTGAGCATTGTGCCCAGCCCCAAGGATAGGAGGCTTGGGGGAAGGGGTTTCAATCCTGACTCCGAAGACAAGGCCAACCCAAAGGAACACCGTCACAAAGAGAGCAGGTAGGTAATTAGAAAACAATCCTGTTTAATGACAGTCCTTAGAAAAAAAAAAAAAAGAAACAAACAAAAAACCTTTGTACACTGTACACACATTTACATGGCTTTGGAGGATACCAGTATTTGGATGAGGGCTTCAGAACGACCCGGCCAGGGATAGAATTGAGGTATGTTGGGGCCTCTAAGGCTCCTGGTCTCCAGGAGGAAGCAGCCCCCTTCCCAGCTGACTGGATCTTTTAGCCTGCATCCTGGAGAACAGATCTCTTGACTCATCAACGAGAATGCATCCAGATCCAAGCATCTACCCAGAGCTGATTTCTCAGGAAAGGGTCTTGCCCCAAGGCCCAGTTGGTTGACCAGGGTAGAAAGCCACAGAGCTCCTAGCACCCCCCAGTTCCAGTACCAGAACCCTGCAGGCATCTCCCATACTTGAGCATAGCCTGACAGGAAGGCATAGAGTGAGGATGCTGTAGTTCCCCCATCTCTGCCAAGGTCCTACCCTGAGGGGCAGAGATGAAAACACTGGGCAGCCAGGTTTGACCAAGGCCAGCCCCAAGATCTCCCTCACTTTTAAGTAAAGCCTCCTTGCCCAGTCTGAGACAGTTGCTGGCAGTTGACCATGACCCGCATGGTGCTTCTCTGCAGTTGTCATGGTGGTTGCACCCCCATCCCACCCCCCTGAGTAAACATAGCTCTGTCCCATTCTGGTGCCCTGAGACACAAAGATGGCCGTGGGTCCATATCCTGATATAAGTGGTATTGGTCTGGCAGGGATCAGAGCCCCTGAGGGCTTCAGCGGAAAGTGTTGACAGTCTCAGCACAGCTGAAGAAGTCAGGGCCCACTAGACGGGGGAAGCCATCCAAAGCCTTCACCTTCACAGGATCAAACTTCCAGTAGAGTCGACCACGCAGGAAGTAGGCATAGCCTAAAGAGAAAAGAAGATCAGGCCTGGGAAAGTGGATAGAGGGCCCTGTGCCTGCCTGTCAGGCTGTGCCCAAGTACGGGCTTGGGGAAGACAGGCCTTGGATACTGTTAAGTTCCTTGAAACCTGAAGGTTCCAGAGCCAGTCTTTTAGTTTCAGAACTTTCATTTCTCTCCAGGGAATGCTTCCAGCTACACAAGAGTCTAGTCCAGCCTGACAGGTGCAAGGAGTCTTAGAACCCAATTCCTACCTGTCCTTCTCCTCTCACTTACCTGGTCATCTTACTTCCACACCTGCCAACCAGACTACACAGAGACATGCTGGAGTCCCAGAGCCTGAGGCTAACCCAACAGCTCTCCCACTGGGTCCCAAATTGGGGGAGCAAAGAAGCAAAGAGAGGGCAGTCAAGTGAGATAGTACTAGATTTTGAGTTCCAAACTGGTTCTAGTCCTCTACTGAAAGTTTCCCAGTGGTAGGATTGGAGTGCTGGCTCTACACTGACTATCTGAGTGGCCCTGGTTAGGGACCTCATTGCATGAGCCTCTCTGAAAAGTGGGTTCATAAGAGGTGTTACATGAGAGGGCTCATCTGAGCATTGCAAGAGACACGGAAGGAGCTTGGTGTTATGCTTAGAGCATTCATAGTCCTCAGTGTACAGTGATCATTCATTCATTCATTTTGCAGTGTTGGGGATCAAACCCAGGACTTGCTTACCACAGGTAAGTGCTCTACCACTGGGCTAAATCCTCTCCCTTGTTTACCAACTGTGACCAAAGGATCTGGGCAAGTCCTTGCACCGCTCTGGTACTCAGTCTCTTCATTTGCAACACAGGGTCTAGCAATGGCTGGCCACCAGGAGGGGGTAAGATGTGGGGAGACAGAGGACCTGTTATAAAGAGCTGGGCCTCTTGAAGTGGGTGTGACGAGGTTTAACTGCCACCAGATGGGGGATGCAACTGCTGCACCCACCTCCCACCAGCTATCCTACCCACAACACACCATCAGCATCCTGGAAGGCAGCGTCAATCTCAGAAGGCACCCCTCGCCAATCAGTGGCCCGACGTGGCACAGGACTGTCCACACGCCGAATGTTGGGATGGAAACGCCAGTAGTCCCCACCTCGGAAGAAGTAGATCTTGTTCTTCTCAGTACCCCAGACCAAGGCAGCATGGATTGGGGACCCCACCAGGCCCAGCTCTGAGAGGGGTGCAGGACCCAGGACAGGCTTCTCGCCATCATATACCCAGTACTGAGCACCTGCAGAGAGGGAAAGCTGCAAGGAGCTATCAAGCTACTGTGACCACGCCCAACCACTGTGTACCTTCTAGGTCACCACCACAGACTCTCCCAGACTCAGTTTCCTTTTCCATAAAATATATGAGCCAATTATATCTGCTCAGCATTCCCAGCCTCAGGGGGATGTTGGAACCCAGCTGAGATAAGTAGGGCAGTGAAGAGTCTTTAAAAGAGCACATGGGGAAGGTTATTCTACTCAGCAGAGGGCTACCTGGGTTCCTGCTGTATCCCCTAGCATTTAGTTGCCTGTCAGAAATGCCTGTTGACCACTCCCTGGGACCCAGCCCTGTCACAGCAGGTCCTGGCTGTCTAGGAACCCACATGGAGTTTCCCATTCTGTGCTTTTGTTTATGAAATCCTGCCACCTGGAATACTCCAGGCTCTCATCTCTGCTAGTTGAAAGCTGAAAGCATGGGCTTCAGAGTCACCAGACCTGGATCAAATTCTTCCTCTGCCTTTTTCAAGCTGTGCTCTCAAGTGAGTCACTTCATCATGTAAGCATTCCAGAGGCCCCATCCCTAGAATTCCACCTCATAAGGTCACTTTGAGGGTCGAGTGCACCAACGTGCATGTGCAATAACTTTCAATGCTATTCTGATCTCAATAGCTACCTTCTTTGGGAGCCTCCCAGCTATGCTTGATGAGTGAGCCATGCTATCTCTTGGCCCTGAGTCTTCTGGGCATCATCTCCCTACCAGTTATGTCTCTGAGGAACTGTCTGTTGCTACCCTTGGCCATGACATTCCTGATGATAGGAGGTCACTTGAGCTGACTCCCAATCCATACTCACCTTGGAAGAACCAAATGTGGCCCTGAGCATCCTCAAAGGCAGCATCCACAGGGCTTGGTAGTCCCTGCCAGTGGCGAGAAGCCAATGCAGGGTACCCAGGCTGCAGTCGGCCACTGCGCAGCCTCCACACAAAGCCTGCCTTAAAGAAAAAAAGCTCTCCCCGGATGGTGGAGACTGCATCAAAGGAGGCCTCACAGGCATCAGGTGGAACTTCCGGCTGGGGCGAAATAGAGGGATCAGAAAAGAGGTCATACTGGAGCTTCAGAGGCTAGCGGGGTCTCACTCCTGACTTTCCACCCTCCTCAGTCTCACCTCCACTGGTGCAATCTCATTGGTGTCTATCCCAGGCCGGGGACCTAGAGCTGAGGCCTGGGAGGTGGAGGCCCGCCGGGGCTGGCCATATAGGTGCTGGATGCCCCTACGGTCATCTGGGCTGAGGCTCAGTGGGTAGCGGAAGGTGTAGAAAGGGGACATAAGGGCTTTAGCTGCTGTTGTGTGTTGCAGCCCCAGCACATGGCCAAATTCATGAGCTGCCACTTGTAGCAGGTCAGTGCCTGGAAAAGGGAGGTAGATTAGTAATCCCCCACCTTCAATCACCAGTTACCAAAGCTCTAGACCTGAGCTTGGGTCCATGGTAGGTGCCCATTCTCTCTGGTCTCCACTTGTTCCATCTGGAAAACGGGTCTCCAGCCCATACCCTGGTTGTCCCCAATAGTCCAGGTCTCATCATAGTCGAAGTGGACATCCCCTTCTCGGTGAGTTTTGGGGAAGAAGGCATGGGCCAGGATACCTCCAGGCCCATCGAATGGCAAGTTGTCCCCATGCCAGTACCTGTGGGTGGGTGGGGATAGAGTCAGTGGCTGCTGGAAGTAGGGTTTTTCCCCTCAGGGGTCCTATGTTGCATACTCACCTGGTGAAGTCAATCATGATGTCAGCATGGCCCTCATGAACCTCAGTGAAGGTAAGTGGCGTCACCTCACTCCATACCTGTAGGGCCTCCGCCACAGTCTGCCGTACCTGCTCCCGTACCAGCTGCCATGGGAACCGGAGGATCCTGGGGGGAGGTGGAGGGGCCTGGGCCTGGGCCTGGGGCAGAGAAGCTCCTGATGCCTGAGGAGCGGAGAGTTGCCCCTGGATGCTCAGGGGGTGGGTGTACTCTAGGTTGAAAGCCAGGTATGCTCTGAGCCTTAGGTGCAACCATCTGGTCTCCCTGGCCATGTGGGTACATCTTTGTATGGGTTTGTGAGTACTTAGATATATACAGGTTTCTACATTTGGTAGAAATAATACAAAAAATGAGAATCCCAAGACCTGCCAATGCTACTCACTGTGGGGGAGACCCTGGGCTTTTAAGCCCTGTCTTGGTTCCCAGTTCCCCACCCAGGGAGTACCCAAGGCCTCCACAATCTCGGCTCTAATGCTGTATGTCACTAGATCATTCTCTCTCAGGCTAAATCTCAGCCCACTATCACCTGCCCAGAGGCCTTCCATATCACCCATTGAGGAGCCTTCTATTACTGTCCCTGCTCACCATGTTTTCCACCTGTATGAGGCCTAAATTATGAGGGTAGATTTGAATAACCACCTCCCAGGGAGGACCAGGCTGTGACTCTGTCTCATTCACCATGGAGTCTCAGGCCTGGCCTTTACAGTCCCCAGTAAAGCCTGCCTGGGAGACTGAACACCCATCCCAGGCATGTGCTGAGATTCTTTGGGGGGATGACAGATGACCCACCCCCTGTTCAATGGGAGGGTATCAGACTGTGTGTGTGTCTGAACTGGAGTGTCAAAAGAGTTTTGGTCCAAGGATGACTGGGGTCAACGGGTAAACAAATTTGTTAACTATGTAGATCTAGTCCTGTGTGTGTCTTGTGAAGCAGGATGATAGGTTCTCATATGGACACAAAGTCCTGCTCTGGTGGCCTCTGGCCTCTACCTGTAGGTGAGGTCTGTCTTCTCCCAGCGTCCTCCAGACAACACAAAGCGCTTCTGTCGATTACGGGCATTCAGCCCATCTGGTGGGTCAGGCACACCACAGCGAGGAGGTCTGGGGCTATTGGCAGGTGGGAAGGCCTCCTGAGTGGCCAGGGCAGGTGCCAGGCTACTAGGCAGAGCTGCATGCTGAATCTGCGGCCCTCTTCTCACAGGGTGGTGGTGGTGGTGGTGGTGGTGGTGGTGGTGGTGGTAGGTATCCTGGGCAAGAAAGAGGATGCAAGAGCCAGGTCAGACCATAGTCCTCATGGCCCATAGCTAAAGGTGAGGCTCATCAGCACAGTAGTGTACAGCATCTGTGCACAGTGTGAAGAGTGAGGGCTGGGAGGGGTGTTGGCATAGAGCAGGGTCCTTTGGCCCTGGCTGATTGTATGGTTTCCTGACATCTTGTTCCAAGGCATCAAGCTTTCTCATCCTCCCTTCCTGGAGAGCCCTGGGCTGCCTGTCACCAATCCCTGCTCAGGTCAGTGAAGTCTGGATGGGGCACACTAAATTTGGGGGACCATGAGCCTGTGAGCCCCTAACTGCAATCTCCATTTACACCTGGAATAGAACCAAAAAGCTTCTAGGAAATATTAGGCAAACTCCTTCTGCTTCCCCCAATGCTCGAGCAAACTGATTGCTATCTCCCTTTCTTCTGGTGTTAATTGAGCAAAGACACACACCTTGTCCTGTTATGCAAATAACAGGATGCCCAGGATGTCCCCTCCTCTCTCTCCCAGCATCCTTGCACTGTGGCCTTTATTTGTTTACCTGACAAATGGGGTCATAATCCCCTCTCCAGGGTTGATCTAAAGGTGAAATAAGATGATGGATATAGAGTACTCACCAGAGGCCTGGTACCTGGTAACTGAAGACTGATTTCCTTTTTTTTTTTTTTTTGCTGGGTGTGTTGGAGATTGAATTCAGTGTCTCACATTCATATGCTTTATCACTGAGCTATATTCCCAGCCCCCCTGACATCTGATTCCTAGCAGAGATGGTTTTGCTCACACTCTGCCAGGTTTAGGCACACAGTGCGAGCTAGATATGTGATCTGCCTACCCGTTTCATGCAGGGAGGGTGGAAGCAGCTGGATACGAGATATCCAGTCCCATCTGTGCCAAACCCCCAGGACCACAGATGGCAATTTTGACCTGAGCTGCATCCTCTCACCCTCTGAGAGTCCCCATTGCAGAAGTCACAGTTCTCATGCATGAGAAAAGCAGAAACTCAGAGAGGCTGGGAGACCCTGCAAGGTCACCTAGCAAGGGCATGGTGGCTAAATGAAGACCTTGGTGTCCCAGGCCAAAGGCCAGGGCCTGGCTCCAAAACACTGCACAAAAAACAGGTCTACTTCCTGGGCTGGAGGAGAGGATGAAGCTGTGTTGTTTACTGAGACATTCAGCACCTGTCTGGTCTGGGCCTGTCTGACTGAAGCAGCTGCAGCCTCCCCACAGCCATATTTGGGGTGGGAGCCTGACCACTCAGTCTCCGCCTTCAGCCTCAGCCTCTGGCAGCTCTCCCACACTCCAGGCACCCAGAGCTCTGATCAGGGTACCAGCCTTTCAAGCTCCTCATTCCAGAGCTGAGGATTCAACTCCCAAGGACACTGCATCAAAAAAAGGCCCTTCTGAACCATCCGGGGTACTTGGAGCTACTTTAGATGTGAGCAATTAATAATAAGTAATTAAGTTTTGAACTTATTTACCTTGTACAATACAGCCAAAGTGGTAGGTCTCGCCTGATTCTGGACTTACTGTTAATAAGTTAATTCTGGACTTACTGTTAATACTGTGGTGGACCAGTACCCTGCCTATAGCTACACTGACCTGCTCTTAGTCCCTGATGGAACTCTTATCAACTCCACTGTCATCATCCCCATTTCTCAAACAAGGAGATGGAGCAGCTTGCTCAGATAATAGCTGGCAGGGAGTGGACCTTCTGTGCTCTCAATCGGCCCCCCTCCCTTGCTGTCTGCTTTGTTCTTGAGGGTTGAATCATCTGTCCCCTGGAGGAGGAACCCTGGCTGGCCTCACCTAGTAACAGAAAAATGGAAAATTATTAAGTACTTGCTATTTCCCAGGCACTCTGCATATGGGCTCATTGAATCTTCTACTCATTGAATCTTCCACTCTAAGATGGGCATGAATCCAAATCCAAGGTCTCACCCTGAAAATGTGGACCCCAGTCTGTGTGACTAGCTGCAAGGACCTGCTCCTATTTGGCCTATCTAGGGGAGAAACAGATTCTTTCTGTCAACCCTAGCAGGGTATGGCGGCCCTCCCTGAGAACCTCTAACAACCTGAGAGTTCAGCCTGTCAGCTCAGTTTATGCTAGAAATCTCTCTCCTCTGCTGCCCAGTGAAGCCTGGTATAGCTAGTCATGAAGAGAGGGACAATAATTGATATATATACCCCATATGCCCTGTCCCTTCCACTCCTTCTCTCATGAGGAACCAAGACCATGGTCAGACAACCCTAAACAGTCACTGTCTTCTTTTAGCCTTCCCCATCCCTCAAATGGGGGATGGCACCAAAGAGCTAAGTGACATCCTTCTGTAATATCCACTGCAGCATCTGGCCCCATTCTCTGCCTCTGAGGCCCTTCCCTCCCATACTTGGGAATTTGTTCTCCCCAAATTCTCTATCCTCCCAGGACTATTGTGATCCAGCATAAGGTGTATTATTAGTGGGCACAGACCACTTGCAGCCTTATCTACAGCCTTGGGGAGTTTGGGGACCAGCCCTTACCTCTTTTCTTGGAAGATGAAACAGAGCCCAGAGAGGTCAAGGTCTTTTTTTTTTCAGAGTCACAAAGCAAGTCAGGCAAGAGCTGGTCTCAGACCGGGACTCATGTCTTCTCCCTTCCAGTACTTCCAACTCCTACCCCCAGCTCTTGGCTTATCTCCCAAACCCACATACCTGAGAAATTTCTGCTTCTAGTGCATTCCCTCATTCTTAGCTCTTTTGGGCTTCCCTGTGCTAGGTGCTTGGCTCACTCTGCCCCACCCTTCTCTGTTCTAACAGCCACCAACCCACAGCCTCAGACACACTCAAGGAATTTCTTGGCTGACCCAGTCTTCTGGTGGAGCTTAGAGACTCAAGGACAGTGCCTGGTCAACTTCTAATCCACAAAATGGTGGAGGGGAGATAAGGGAGGACCCCAGACTAGGAAACCAGTTTGACCCCAGTTTGCTTTCTAATTGGTTTAATTAAGCACAGCTATGTTTTCTGCTGTTAGTAAGAGGTGATTTCGAGAAGAGAGCACTGTGTTACACTGTGAGGAAGACAGGAAAGCATATCAGGCCATTCTCTGAAACATCAGACCCATCTGAGGGTCCCAGAGGCCAAGCAACCTGCCTACGGCACACAGCCACTTGACAGGCAGGATTGTCTTCTTTTTGCTTCTGCCTAATGGGCCATCTTCTCACCTCTCTGCTGGTTTTAGGAAGATAGGCAGCTTTGTCCCACTAAGTTGCAGACAGGGCTTTAATCAGCCCTGAAAGCTGGGAACAGGGATAGATAAATATTTACAGAAATCTCCTGGCCCTGTTGAAGGCAGCCTAGGGATAAACACATTGGAGGTGACCCCAAATGCTCCAAGTATGTCAGTAGCAATAGACAACAACCCAGCTCAGACTCCACCTGGCCCCCAACCCCAATGCTACCCCCTGCATAAACATCACAGTGACAGTTACAGGTGACAGAGTGGCTTCAGTGTGCCTGACATTACCTCATTTAATCCTCAATAGTAGGCACTATTACCCCTCCTACCCCCTTCCCCATTACAGATAGAGCGGGTGAGGTTCTGAAGGGGAAGAGGACTCACTCAGGATCACATGGTTCAAATCTCTCCAATTCTTGAACTCATAGGTTCAGTTGCTACCCAGGGGACGGAGGAGGGCTGGGGAAGATGCAAGATCTCCAGATAGATTTGCCCTCTACCCATTGTACCCCATCTTTCCATGCCCTTCCACTCTCATAGCCAGCACCAGGCAAGACTGGCCCAGGCAAAGCCAATGTGGCTGGACAAAGCCTTAAATCCCAGGATGCCTGCCTGTCACATCCTCCTGCTCTTATCTCTGGCCAAGCTATCTGGATGCCTCAGCTGCCCAGCGAGTAGACCAGATACCCAGGGCCCTGTGGGTCTGAAGTGGTCCAGACTCTGGCTCTAAGCCCTGCCTGTTCCCCCCCACCCCCCACACACCACCACCACTTTCTTTACACAGCTTTGCTCTCTTACCTGGATTTTCTTCTCCTCTCCCAAACACATATTTCATACTTTTCCATTTTCTCCCCATCCATTACTCTCTGAGGATCTCAATCACTCATGGTACCCCTTTCTTTCTGACCCCCATTGAAAGATCACACACGCTGCACTTCTAATTCTCCCAAACCTGCCTCATGCAGGTGACCAGAGGGAGGCATCTTCTCCAGGCTCACACTCCATTTTCCCCAGAGAAGTCTCTCCCCTCCCCAACTCTTTCAGTACCTTCCTTCCACTGCACACCTGCAGGCCCGCTTTCAGTGGCCACACACCTGGAAGCTGGCAACTGCCTGAGACCTGCTGGCTTTGTCCCTGGAATGAATAGGGGGCCCTCTAACCATTCCCTTTGCTGCTCTCCCAACACACACCCCAGCATTCGCGGCTGGGAGCAGGTCGCCAAGCTGGGAGGGGGCGTGAATCCAGCGCCGACTCCCGCCCCTCCAGCCTGAGCGATCCCGGCGCAGGTTCCACTTGCATACCTCTAGGGACGGGAAGCTCATTATTATACCCACGGAGACCCAGAAGGTGTTTCAGGTACCGGCTGCCCCAGCCCACCCGGGGCGCCCCCATGAGTCCAGCTCGGCCGGTGAGCCCATCGCGTGCCTGGTCTTCCCTTGGGGATGAGCAGCAGGCCAGTGACGGGCACTCACCAGCGGCTTGGCCCGGGCCAGCAGCGGCGGCGGCAAAAGCAGCAGCAGCAGCAGTAGCGGGAACAGGAGCGCGCGTGGGTCCGCGCCTCGGTACCCGGCGGCCCGTGCCATCCGCCCCGGGGCTGCTGGGCCTGCTGGGCCGCGCCGGGCCACCGCCCCTTATAGCCTCTGTCCCGCCCTCGAGTCCGCCCCAGCCCCGGCCCCGCCCCCCGCTGCCTTTTGTTCTAAACTTTCCCTGTCGCAGCAGCCTGGGTGGGGGAGGTAGATCCGGAGGGGCTAGACCGGCAGGGATCGGAGCCTGGAGACTAGAGTCCGATTCTGGAGCGGCCCCAGCTCCAGCCCTCGGAAGTCTGGTGCTGGGTAACCCTGGCCAGCCAGTGCTGCTCTGGGCTGTGTGGGACCTTGCTGTGTGGGACAGGGCGTCCAGAGCCTCAGACCTAATAAAGAGTCTGAGAGGGTTGAGATTCACTCCTCCCAAGCCTTACCCCCACCTTTAAAGACTCATCATTAGGCGGAGTCTCAATGGTGGCCTAACCTCTAACCTGTCTGTGACAGGTGTTCTTGCCCATGGGCAAATTCTCCTATCCCTTAGAGACATCTCCACCCCCTTCCTTCTGGAAGATGGCACAATAGCTACTGTGAAGAAAGGGCTATTAAAAAGTGTCCCGGGGGAAACAGGCATATGGCAGAGACTGGCCAGTCCCTCACCTTGGAACAGATCAGAGATAATTTATAGATGAGGAAACTGAGGCTCTGTGAGGGAAGGGCCAGACTTTTCTATGCCAGAAGGCGAGTGGAGGGTCTAGCTGGTCAGCTGGGGAGAGTAAGCTGTAAGAAGGCTATAGGAGGGTATCTGAGTAGGTGACTGGGGTCCTGGGCCGTCTGCTGGTTAGGGCTCAACAGGTCCCTGTGAATCTCAGAGCCAGCCATTTCAGACATGAAGGAGAAAAGTAAGAATCAAAGGATGGGGTAGCGTCCACATGCTGGAAGGGATCCTCAGGTCTCATCCTCAATTGCAAGAGGGTGCCCACTCCTGCCCTGTAATGAAGAAGGGCCTCCCCACTGCAACAGGTAGTCTTCCCCAACATGGGCAACCCTGCAGAGTCCAGATGCAGGCAGTGGCTTCCTCCCATCCTGTCAGGCAGGGCCCTGAGCTGCTGCAAGGTGATGTAATATAAGCTTGGACCAAGAAATGGGGGTGGGGTGCACTTCACAGCTTCTCTAGAAAGACTCCACAGAGACCCCTAGAGGGGGAGTAGGGGCAAGACAGAAGTGAGAGTTAACTACCTAGACTGCCAATCTTTTCCTTTAAAGTGATTCACTTTTTAATTTAATTTTTTATTAGTGCATATAGTTATACATAATAGTTGGGTTAATTTTGACAAAAATCATATAAGCATGAAATTTGGTTTACTCATTTCAGTTCCTGGTGCCTCCTTGCCCCTCCTCCCTTCCCTCTACTGGTCTTCCTTTCACTCATTCATTTTTTTAAAAAAATTTTTTTGAGGTACCGAGGATTGAACTCAGGGGCACTGGACCACTAAGCCATGTCCCCAGCCCTATTTTGTACTCTATTTAGAGACAGGGTCTCACTGAGTTGCTTAGTGCCTTGCTTTTGCTGAGGCTGACTTCAAATTCATGACCCTTCAGCCTCAGCCTCCAGAGACACTGGGATTACAGGTATGCACCTCCACACCCAGCTCATTTGTTTATTTTTGATTGGTGCTTTATAGATAAATATAAAGGTGGAATTCACTGTGGTATATTTATACATGTACATAATTTTGTAAAATTCATTCTGCATTTCCTGCCTTTTCCCATCCCTCCTCCTTCTCTATTTTCTTCTTCTATTCCATTGATCTTCCTTCTATCTTTATGATGTTCAACATCCTCTCCCCACCCCATGTACTCCACCTTTTGCATATGAGAAAAAACATCGGACCCTTGATTTTTAGAGTCTGGCTCATTTTACTTAGAAAGTGACTTACTTTTTAGAGGTAGACATTTCAATGCTTGTTTCAGTGTCAGCAATTCAAGAATTCATGAATTGAATCAATACTTTTTCTGATATACATGAAAATACATAATTTTCAAAATTAAACATTCATTTGTGAAACTATCTTAAAATGGCCTTGAGTGCCATCTTACTGGGAAGCCTACCCTGGAGGTAGATGGTAACTTTTACTTCAGAGAGAAGAAAACTGAAGACCTGGCAGGGGAGGGCTCTGCTGCAGAGGATGGTTGAAAGAAGTAAATGTTAAGAACATAGGAACCTGCATGACTTTCACATACAGTATGTGTGGCTGGGAACAGCTCCGCCTGCATTTAGCTGAGTGGGACCAGGTAGGGCTAGATCCAACTCAGCTAGCTGTTTGTCTTTGCCCCTGGTCCCTCTTATTCATAGAGGGATCTCAGCTCTTCACCCATCTCCTGGATGCTTTTGTTCTTGGTGATTTCCTGATTTCAGGTGGCCTCTGCTGGCACACCAGACAATGAAAAGGGAGGGGAAAGAATTCAGGGTTCTCCCTGCCTCCAACTAAGGGTCATAATATGACCACAGCAAAGTCACCGAGGAAAGACCATAAAAACCTCGAGTTCCTGATGGGTTGGAAAGCCTTCTAAATCTAGGCCTCTGGCTTCACCTTGGCCTGAAACCAAGATGCTAAAATCTTTAGATCTCAGGATTCAAACATCTGTATTTGAATTGAATTCATGAATTGAATCAATACATTTTCTGATACATATGAAAATATATAATTTTCAAAATTAAACATTCATAATTCGTGTACTTGGTTTGACCCTTAGCCAAGTAAACATGTCTTTGCACTCTGGTCACAGCCTTTAGGACGGACACATTACTTGAATGTCGCGTGAATGCTATCAGTGTCTGGCGCTGAATCGGTGGGGTCAAGATCCCAGGGGACCAGCCGGGATTAACAGTCGCGTAGCAGAGCCTCCTAGCACCCGGACGGGCGGGGTGGGTGAGTGCGAGGACAACACTGCTAGAGGTTGCGGGCGCTGGAAGAGTCAAAAAGTATCGGTACGCCCCCTAGTGGGAGTTCTGGGGACAGATTTCTGCAGTCCTCGGCTCAACTCCACTCCTAACCCCGAGGCCACGTGACGGTCAGCCAACCTTGTACGGCGAGCAGGGACAGGGAATTCAGCCAGAACTAGAGTTCGCGTCCCCTTTCACAACCCCAACTTCATTCCCTGCTCTCCGCAGTATTTTTTTTTGTTTTGGGTTTTGGTACCGGGGATTGAACCCAGGGGCGCTTTACCACTGAGCTACATACAGCTCCAGACATTTTTTATTTTTTTTAATTTTGAAATAGGGTCTCGCTAAGTTGCTTACGGCCCGGCCCGATAAGTTGCTGAGACTGGCCGGGAACTTCCGATCCTCAGCCTCGCGAGTCGCTGGGATTACAGGGGTGAGCCATACCTTCCTGGCCCTGTCGCCCTGCTTAAGCCCTCGGTGGTTTGCGACTTTGGCTTGTGTTCCTACAGCTTTCATAACTGGGATCAGGCGCAGGGAGGGAGCAGCCTCTCCTTTCCAGGTGAGACAGATCTTTGGTGCCGCGAAAGAGGGCCGGACTTGAGATAGCGCCTCTTTCAGCTGGGGGCGTGTCCCTAAGACTCCGCCCTAGACTCCTCCTTTAGCCCCTTGTGACTAGCGCTGATGCATTCGTCCGGGGGACGAAGCGGTCTCTGACTCAGCTCATCCAAGTCCCACCACAGCCACCATGCCACGCGGGAGCCGAAGCGCGGCCGCCCGGCCAGCCAGGTGTGAAAAGGACAGGGACCCCATGGGGAGGAGGGGAAAGTGCGGGCACTCTATCAAGGGCGTCCGTAGTGACCTTTGTTGTTACTGCGCCATCTTGGTGGGGGGAGGGTCTGGGGGGCAGCAATCAAGTATCTAATTCGGGGGCGCCCTCCTGGTTTTCCGGGAGTAAAGGCGGTCGTTTCCAGGAGCTGCAGGGTCCTGAGAACCCTGGCCTAGGGTCCAGCAAGGATTAACCCTGCTTCCTCCTATCCCTGTAGTCGCCCAGCGGCACCTTCTGCCCATCCACCTGCACACCCACCGCCCTCAGCAGCTGCCCCGATTCCTGCCCCCTCGGGCCAGCCAGGTCTCATGGCACAGATGGCATCCACGGCCGCTGGGGTAGCCGTGGGCTCCGCTGTGGGACATGTCATGGGCAGTGCCCTGACTGGAGCCTTCAGTGGAGGAAGCTCAGAGCCTGCCCAGCCTGCTGCCCAGCAGGTAAGCAGCAGGACCCAAGAGAAACTGAGGCAGGATTCTCTCAAGGCCACATAGGGAAGAGTGTCCAGTGGAGTGTCTTGATGTATACAGAGTTGCCTCAGGCCTAGGACTTTGACTAAGGAGGGTCCTATTCCTCACTCTGCTGTTGAGCTCACTGTCGCTTTATTGGCAGGCTCTGTCCCTCTTTGAGGGCAAGGTCCCTGGACTCTTAGGGACTGATACCAACCAGCCCTTTAAAAATGGGAAACCCAGGTTCAGTGGGACCCAGAGATTTACCCAAATTCACCTAACCCTAGTAGAGTGACAAGGGATGTTGAATTTACCAAGCCCTTGTTCTCCTTACCCAAATTCAGTATTGTAGCTGCTAGGCCCAATGTGAAGGTCAGCCTGTGTCATGGCTCCTGGTCTCTGATGACCTGTCCCCCACTGAGGCCTTACCAGTCCTGAGCCAAATCCAAATGCCGCTTAGCAGTTAGGTCAAGGGTCATAAGGATCAGTATGGCTGAGCCAGGAGGTGGGGCTATTTTCAGAGTATATAAAAGATTCTAGAATCTTTTCCTCCTCCCTCCCTTGCTCCTCCCCAGCATGCCCAATGTGAGGCAGCAAGGAAACCCTGTGTGCATTAGTTTAATGACATTGAAGAGGGTGGCTGGCTTGCTCTGTTTCATGGATGTAGCAGCTCAGCTGAGGTTAGACAGGGGCAGGTCAGACCTGGGATCTTTGAGGCAGCAAGACAGGATATGGGGAGAGGCAGGCAGCCCCCAGCTTTGGAACCTATCTCTAGGTATCAACCTTGAGCTGACAGTTTTGCCTGTCACACTCCCCCCTGCAGGCCCCTACCCGTGCTGCCCCACTACAGATGGGACCCTGCTCCTATGAGATCAAACAATTTCTGGACTGCTCAACCACTCAGAGCGACCTGTCCCTGTGTGAGGGCTTCAGTGAGGCCCTGAAGCAGTGCAAATATAACCATGGTGAGAAATTGGACCCTATCCCAGGTGGGGATTGAAAGGGGCAGACCCTCTTTTTGCACCTGCAAGCGACAACAGCCTATGCTGCTCCTTCCCTCCACAGGTCTGAGCTCTCTCCCCTGAACATGTTGGTGCAGACTCATTGGCCAGCTCTGAGATGACTCCTGGGTCCTAACCCTGTACCCACCCCATCCCCTTACGGACAGCTGGACCATGAAGACAGATTGTAACTGGGACTGGGAGTAAGAAGGAAGTTTCCTACCCCATAGATAACTCAAGACACAAATGTGCAATTAAAGAGTTTATTTTAAATCACAGCCTGTTGTGTGTCCTCTTCCTGGCCTGTCTGCTGGAAGCACCCTAGCTAATGAACTGGGATTAGGGGAGATGGATGGATATCTCACTGTAGTGTGCTGTGTATCACCTGAAACAGGCATCCTGGGTAGGGTGGGAAGAGTCTTGTAATAATCTGTACTTGGGGCAGTCAAGGGTGGACTACTTTGGGCAGCCCAAAGGGGGGTGATGAGGCATTAGCAGGTGATCTCAAGAGCATCTGACTTTGGGGGCTGGAATCCCAGAAGAAGCCTTTTGTTTCTACTTCTCAGTAGAAGGCACCTTTTGTGCTTTTGACTCTGGGCGCCTTTCTCTGCACCCACATCATAGGGGCTTTCCCCCTCAGAGGCCTCACAACCTTTCTGTGACCTTGCTCCTCTTAATGATGCAAAGTCTCAGTAATTCTGGATTGGGCAGAGGAATCTTGCTGGGCTGTTGTCTATTTGCATCTTATCACATGAGTCAGAGGTCACGGCCAGCCCCCTTGACTCCGAGTCCAGCTTGTCCACTTGGCTGTGGTATGCCAGGCTGTGGTATGTCCAGGGACCTGCTGGAACAAAGGAGCAGGCCCTTCAAACTCAGTGCAGATTGCTCTAACATACACTGCTTCTGCCTTCCTTGGGTTCATTAAGCAACTTTGCATTGAGCACCTATCATGTTCTACATGCCCTGTTCTACATCCCCTAAGCACTGAGAACAGTCCTGCCCTTAGGGTGCTTACACTCCAGTGGGGTGATCCATCTCCAGTACAATGTGTAACAACCATCTTGGGAGCATAGATATGCATGGTTGGCACTGAGGGTCTGCCTCTCTTAGCACATATGTGTCTGCCTTCTGGTAAGGGGTTCCACTTCTGGGTGCCCATACCTCTTCCATACCTGGCTCCTGGCACCAGCTAGCGAGTCCTGGATGGCAGGGAGCTCACCCTTCCAGCTCTTGAAGGGGGCTCTAGTTCTCGATGGCTACGCCGAGTGCTCATGCGTCTCCTCCGGCCATTGCCCATGGTGGAGACGCCTGATAGCCAGCGCAGCTCCTCTGAAAGACCCAGGAAACCCTGATGGTGGGACTGGGGGAGAAGAAATGCCTTTCCCCCCTGGGTTCTACCCTGACACTTACCTGCCAGCTCCGGACACTGATCATCCAGGTTCTCTAGTAGGGACTCATAGCGGGTAGGTGCCCCATCCTCCCCCCCTGTGGAGTATGGAGAGAGAACAAAAGACCCCTGACTGGCCTGATGGTCCCTATCCCACCTCTTACTCTAGATCTGTTTGTTGGCCCAAGCTGGGGGTCAGGACAGGGTAATGGATAGGGACAAGCTGGGGCTAGGTCCTGGTCAAAGTGAGGGCTAAGCAGGGCTTTGTGTGGTCTGTGGCCTGCTGTCCCGCCTTATAATCCAATACAACCGCAGGGGAGAGTCTTGGGTCCACTTACTGATGATTTTCACAAGGACATATGTCCCTCGTTCCTGTAGAAGAGGACTGCCCTTGGAGGAGGCTGGGGAAGTCTTCTCCTCTAGGTCCTCACCTAGGCTCACAAGTTGTCCATCCTCAGCTAAGAGGGCAATGGTTTCTGGGAAGGCATGGAGAGAGGCTGGGCAGGGCTGGTACCCTTGCATGGGGTCCCTCAGCCTCTCCTCCCCTGATCCCTCCCCATCTCCTTACCATCTTGGGGGACCTGTCCCCTCTGCTTCAAGTGGGCAGTGAGGGTCATTAGGCTGCACCAGGGGTTCACCAGCTCCCCGTAGCCGGCTGTGGGGTAGGGGTAAAGGTGAGCAGGTATGATCCCCTACTTTCTCCTCAATCAGGGCCCTCTGCCACTTTCTCCCATTTCTCCCCTCCCTAGAGCTGCGACTAGGGCTATGGAACTAGGACTTACCCCAGGCACCGTAGTCCAGGCAATTTTGCATAAACTTCTTTGCAGACATCCATCCATCTTGACAGATGTGGATAACTGGGGCGCACAACTCAAGGTTCCCGCACGGGCCAGACCCCAGCCCTGATCTAGGAACCAGCTTGGTGTCCGTCACTGGCCCCGCCCCCGACGGCCTACTTCGCACTGGAACCGCCCCCTCGCTCTAACCCCGCCTCCTACATCCCGCTGACCAGCTTCCCACCAGAGGAGCAGTGAATCAGCTTCAGATGTGTGTTGCGAGCTGAAGCTTGAGGACCACTAACGGAATGGCAAAGCGATAGGTTCAAAAACGTGCTGCCCGGTGGCTTGGCAGCCCTTCCCGGGAGGAACCTGCATGAAGTATCAAGGCAGGACCCACCGGGATTTTCCCCAAGGGCCTCACTCCAGGTGCTCACTTTGCCTCCTCCTTATTTCGGTTTCTCTGAGCCCTGTATCCCTTCCCCATCTGCACATTTTCTTCCCGCCGCTGCTTTCCCACGGCAGAGGGAGGCACGCCTCTGCGTGTGACTCACCCCCACCGGCCTTCCAGGGCTGGGGAACCCCACTTACCTCCAAACATCACCGTGACAAACATGGCTGCAGCGGGGAAGAGACGGATCTGGTGGGGCTTTGAGCCACCAACTCTGGACTTCCTCACTCGGGAAATGCCTGGGACAGATCTACTCCGGGGTGGGGTTGGGGAGGTGTGTACAAGTGCGGGTGGATGGGAGAGTGGTCCCAAGCCCAGATCCCTGCTCAGCCAGCCACTTGTTCAACTAGTCCAAGACCTCTGTCCTCTTTCTTCTGCCGCTCGCTGGGCCAGAGTAGCGTCCCCTAGCTCCCAAGCAGGTCTCCAAGGCAGCGGGAGTCGCCAAGACCTCCAGGCAGGAAATGCCTTAGCCCCAGTATCCCGGTAACGGACCTGAAGGGGCGGGCATTCCTTGAGGCCGGGTTCTGGTCCCGCCCACAGTGGGGGCTCGAGACCAGGGGTTCAGGGGTGCTCAGATGAAGGAGTCGGAGACCACATCGGTTATCAGGAAGAGGCCCAAGCTGGAAGAGGTGTGTGTGTGTGTGTGTGTGTGTGTGTGTGTGTGTGTCTGTCTGTCGTCACCAATCTCTGCAGGCTACCAATCAGTTCGAGGCCATCTTCCTGTGCTCGTTTTTCTTTTCTCCTCCCTCTCTCAACTTTCACGTTCTTCTGCCCTTCTTTCTTGTTAGCCATGTTTATTAAGATAAAATTTGCAAACAGTAAAATTTGCTGTTTTTAATGTTTTCGAGTTTTAAGAAATCTCATGTAACCATCCATCACAGTCAGGATATAGAACATTTCCATCGCCACCCCAAATTCCTTTGTGCCTCTTTGTAGTTGTGAAAGTTGTCAGAATCAAAATGGAGTCACTTTTGTCGAGCCCTGAACACCCCTCTCCGAAATTAATAAAGTTGGGAGGTTTACAGAGGAGGGAATCTTACCTATGCATGTTTGATAATAAGAAATATTCACGAAGGTCTCGGCTGGAATCACAATCTTGTACAAAGGCCACAACAACCTTACACAGAAATAATTCTGCACAGACATCTGCCCAACAACTGTGTATTTAACCTTGGACTGATGCCACCCTTGTTATTTATACTTCTAGCCAAGGATTATTATTTAAAAACATTTTATGTAATCCATTTCACCTTCAAAAACTTCTTGCCTCAATCTCCTTGAATATGCTGGTAGTTAACTATGAATCATTTATTTCTATTGCAATGTTACATTCCCAGGTAAACTTAATCTTTTCTTTTTTGTATTGGGGATTGAACCCAGGGGTGCTTAACAGTTGAGTCACATCCCCAGCTCATTTATTTTTCGAGACAGGGTCTTGCTAAGTTGCTGAGGCTGGCTTTGAGCTTATGATCCTCCTGCCTCAGCCTCCTGAGTCCCTGGATTACCGTTGTTCACCACTGCTCAGCAATAAACTTAATCTTTAGGGAAATCTCTAGTTGTTATTTCTGTCAAAATAGTTCCTGCTCTGTTTTCTGTCCTTGCCTTTTCCAGTATGTCCTATAATTGGAACCATACAGCATGCAGCCTGTTGTGTCTAGCTTCTTTCATTCAACATGATGCACTTGAGATCCATCAAGGTTGTTGTGTGTATCCTTATTGCTGAGGAGTGCTCCATTGTCTGGATTCACGTCCTGTCATTTTGAGTTTTTTTCCAGTTTGGTGAGATTTGCATAAAGTCAGTGTAGACATTTGCTTATAGGTTCTTGTGTGCACAAAAGTTTTCATTTCTCTAGTAAATACCATAAGAGGGATTGCTGGGTCATCTAGTGAATGTATGTTTAAATTTACAAGAAACTTCCAACTGTTTTCAGCCTGTCCTCACTGTTTTGCATTTTCCTGCCTTCTGTCTTGTTGTTTCTGGGTCTCCTGGATCAATAACAGGTCATAATTGTCTCTTTAGTTCTCACTACTAGTTAGTCCCTCTTATCAGCTCTATTTATTTGCAGTGCTGGGGCTCAAACCCAGTGCCTCACACATGCTAAGCAAGTGCTTTAGCACTGAGTTACATTCACCCTAATCTTCTCACTAGCTTTTGCCATATTCCCTGCTCCTTATATCTGTTTGTCTGTCTCTCCTCCTTTCCTTTCTGTTTCCTCTCTTTCTTTTTTTATGGTCTCACACTTAACCTATTGCTCTGCATCTACATCTGTGTTCATCCTTCCTTTGACTTTTTTCCTCTGTTTCTCTTTGTCATTCTTTCTCTTTCCTTCTTGCCTACTGCATCCCCTCTTTCTGCTTCTTTTCTCACCCTTCCCCATTAACCTCCACCAGACCCCTGTAAGTCAGAGTGCTAGTTTCAATCCATGATCAGTTGGCCCCATTATTTTGGGCCTGTGGTGAGGCATCAGATCATGGTGGGAGAGTGTGATGGAGGAAACTGCTCATCTTATGTTGACTGGGAAGCAAAGTGACAGTTAGTAAGGGAATGGATTCCTACTATCCTCCCAGGGTATGTCCCCAGTGACTTGAGACCTCCCACTAGGCCCCCTCTTAAAAGTTCTAGTTCTACTATCTTCTGATAGTACCTACCTGAGGACCAAGCCTTTATTATCTGGGCCTTTTGGTGATATTGAAGATCCAAAATATAGCACTTAATAAATGCAGTGTGCTCAGCACTGAAACAATATATCCTATCTTTGCATCTTCATTGCTTTCCAGCTTCCAATGTGCTTATGTGCATTTCAGATGGTGAAACTGAGGTACAGGAAGGGGAAATAACTTGGCTAGAATCATGCAGTTGAGATCAGAAGCTGGGATTCTAACCCGTAGTGAAAACCATTTCAGCTTTCCTTCATTTGGCCAAGGAAAGGGACTGACAATGTCAAGGCTAGTGAGGATGTGAAGTCACTAGAACTCTTATCCTGCTGGTGGAAGTGCAGATGGCTACAACCATGTTGGGAACCTTGGCAGTGTCTAATAAAGCTAAATGTGCACATTCTCTACCACTTGGCAATTTCACTCTGGGTAGCTCTACAGTAAAAATGACAACATAGGTGCACCAAAAGACATTGACAAACATGTTCACAGCAGTTTTACTGGTCCTGACCAAAGACTGGAAAGCTTCTAGATATCTAATAATAAGAGAATGGATAAAATGGATAAACTAGTTGTGGTATCTTCACACAATAGATTATACACAGCTATGAGAACTTTGAATTACATATTGCTGCACACACAGGACTCTCATAATGTTGGACAGTAGAAGTAGGTTCACATACACATATCCCACTATAATTCCATTTATAGTAGAAGTTCTAAAGAAGGCAAAATTAATCTAAAGTGATTGAAGTCAGAATGATGGTTCCCTTGGGGGATTATGTTAGTCAGCTTTCTGTCACTATTACAAATACCAGAGATAACCAACCTAAATAGGAAAGTTTTATTTTGGCTCATAGTTTTGGAGGTTTCAGTCCATGATCGGTTGACTCTGTTGCTTTTCGGCTTGTGCTGAGGCAGCACATCATGGTGGGGAGTATGAGATAGAGCAAAGCTACTCACCTCAAGGCAGTCCAGGGAATGAAAGAGAGGAAGAGGAAGGAGTTTGGGTCCCATTTATCCCCTTTAAGGTCACACCCTCATTGATCTGACTGTCTTCCACTGGGGTCTACCAATAGAGCCAAGCCAGGGACCAAGGCTTTAACACATGGGCCTTTAACAGACATTTTAGATCTAAACTATAGCAGGGGTGGAGGCTGTTACTGATTGGAAAGGTGCTGAGGGGCCTTCTGGAGACATGAAAATGTTCTAAATCTTGATCCAGATGTAGGGTTGCAGGGATGTTTGTATTGTATGTGTGTTATATATTACACGTATATACACTATATATAAATCTGTGTGTATTTATATATAAAATCATCGAACTATATGGTTAATTATATGTGCACTTTCCTTTAGTCTGCAGCCAGCACAGATGGTGTAAGTGGTTCGGTCATGCGGAAAAATCCTCAGGGAGTTTAAATTAAAGACACAGACTCCATTTTACCTTTAAACCAGCTCCTGGATGGTTCCTCCTCGAACCCTCAGCCTCAAGCTTCCCAGGGGGGCAGCGAGGTTTTACTGAAGAGGCTAGGGAGAGAGAGCGAGCACACTAGGAAGAGGGCTTTTATTGGGGAACCAAGAATTCTGGGGAAAATCCCATCCAGTGAAGGTCAAGGGGGGCAGTGTTGCAAGGTTAGGTGCGGTGGTTGGATCTTTGGGGCAGTGGTGAGACACGCCTCCACAATGACAAACTCTCAAACCCAAGAAGGGTGTGGAAAGCTCTTTACCACATTAAAAAGTGACTGAGCGCCTCACACCCAGCCGGGGAGGAAACTCAATCTCATGCAAGGATGATCTCCCACACTTTCCTGTATATCAGTTGTATCTCAATGAAGAAACAGATTCTAAGGCTGGGAATGTGGCTCAGTGGTAGAGCACTTGCCTAGCATGCTTGAGGTTCTGGTTTGTATCACCAGTGCTACAAAAAAGCAGATTCCAATCTCCTGCTATCACTTGAGGATTTCCAAGCTTCTGAACTCCCAATGTCCTAGTGTCAGGATCCTGACATTGGGAAGATAGGGCCTGGCCATTGGCCCCAGCTATACCCCTCCCTTCTCAGTCAATGGACTGATTTGCATGCCTTGTTGTGGTCCAGCAACCTGCTTAGCCCTGTGCCCCTAAGCACCTAAGCTTAGTAGAAAGACTGCCAGCCTTCCAGTCTCTGGCCATGGTCTGCCCCAGGTGCCTGGTCCTCCTTCTGATGGGAGTCTTCCTAGCAGGTGAGTCCTCCCTTGGCCTGGCTTATTTGAGAATGGGGTGGGGGAGGCACTAGCCCCAGAAGGCCCCTGCAAGGAAGCAAATCTGTAGGGACTATAAGGAGGATCCTGGGAAAGGCATTCAGGTGAAGAGGAGAGCTGGCTCCAGGCAGCTTTGCCACTGACCTGGGGTAAATCTTTTCCCTGTGTGGGCCTTGGTTTCTCCATTTGTGAATGATCAGATTGCCAGGGTCCCTTAGGGCTCTTATCCTTTGGGGTCTTAGGAGAATGGAGATAATCACCTTAGTTTTATAGAGGAAAGGGATAGTAGAAAGTTACTATCCCACAAGGCCTCAGAGGCAACCTAACACTGAAAATGTCCTGAGAAGCCAGTGGACTGAGGCTGAGCTGACAGGTGGTGCAGCCTAGAGTTTCCTGGGGTGTAAGCCTATAACCAGAGTTTGTGAAACAGACAGGGAAGAATCTTGAGAGAAAGGGAGCCGGACATCAGAAATACCCAGAGGGCACTAGTCCAATTCTTTGAATGCTAGGCTTTCAAATGAACATGGATTTTTTTGGGACATGGTAGTAACAATGACATGAGGGTCACTGGTTCCAAAGCCCTTACTCACAGAGAGAAATGGAGGCCTAAAAACAACACCATAAGTCACATGGAACAAGGTTTCCTGCATCTGATTCAGTGCTAGTCCTACCACACTAGGTTATGAACCCTTTGGGAATGGGCATCTTTTTGAGGTCTGACCAAGCCTTCATAGGCAGGGGCAGGAGGGAAGGGGCCCAGGCTGGGCCTGAATGAATCTGTATTTCTTAGTGTCCCAGCCAGTTCTGGCTCAACCAGATGCACTGCTGGTCTTCCCAGGCCAAGTGGCTCAGCTCTCCTGCACGCTCATCCCCCCACATACCACCATTGGGGACTACGGTGTATCCTGGTACCAGCAGCGGGCAGGCAGTGCCCCCCGTTACCTTCTCTACTACCGCTCAGAGGAGGACCACCACCGGCCTGCTGACATTCCTGACCGATTCTCAGCTGCCAAGGACATAGCTCACAATGCCTGTATTCTAACCATCAGCCCTGTGCAGCCTGAGGATGATGCGGATTACTACTGCTCTGTTGGCTACGGCTTTGGTCCTTAGGGGTGGGGTACGGAGTGAATTTCTCCTGCCTGCCTACCACTTCTGCCCCTGACCTTTGGAACCTCTCTTTCTCTGAGCCTTCCTCTGTAAAACGGGCTAATAACATTCAACATGTCAATAACAGCCATGAAATCCTGGCTGAAAAAGTGATTGTGATTGGTCTAGGACTATGTGTGTGTGTGTGTGTGTGGGGGGGGGGGTTTCTGGGGATGGCTGCTGAAAAGGAAACACCTGAGACCCTTGGGGAGTGGTCGGCCCTACCCCTGGCCCCCAGAGGCTCAAACTGGTGGCCTGGCTTTCCGGTGACCTGGGGTGCTAGAGAGAATGAAAAAGGAACCAGCCCTTGCCACCCCCGGCTCTGCATGGCTGGCTGACTGTGGTCCAACGCTCACAAATCTGGTGGCTGGTCCCCATGGACCAGCTGGTTTGGGGAGGGGCAGACTCTGTCTCCCTACCTGGTTTTTGCCGAAGGCCCCACTTATCCTTGAGATAGCAAGGTGTGTGTAGGTGGTGTGGGACATGGAAGAGACTCTGAGGCATATGAGGGCTAGAGCTGAAGTATTGAAGGAGGAAGGCAGGCAGAAGGCAAGAGCAATATCCCCCCTCTTGGGAACAGTGTGTTCTCTTGAGGGAGGCTTCCCCACAGTCTGAGCAGATACATCAAGGGATGGAGCAACTGGACAGAGAGGGTGAGCTGACAGGTGATGCAGCCATCAGAAGCCGAGTTGAGTGTCTGGGACAGGGGCATGTGCACATTCAAAAACACAGCCTTGCTGGGCATGGTGGCTCATACCTGTAATCCCAGGTATCTGGGAAGCTTGGGAGTTTGAGCATAGCCTGAGCAACTTACTGAAATCCGGTCTCAAAATAAAATAAAAAGGGCGCAGGGGTTGTGGCTCAGTGGCACAGCGCCTGCCTTGCACATGTGAGGCACTGGGTTTGATCCTCAGCACCCCATAAAAATAAGTAAACAAAATAAAGATATTGTGTCCATGTATAATTTAAAAAATATTTTAAAAATAAAATAAAAAGGGCTGGGGTTGTAGCTCAGTGCTTGCTTATCATATGTGAAGCTCTGGGTTCAGTCCCCAATGTGGGAAAACAGACATCCCTCGGTCTGGAGATGTAATTAAGTGGTAAGTGCTTGCCTACCTTACACAAGGCCGTGAATGTAATCTCCAGCACAAAATAAAAACAAAATAAAAAAGCCCAAACACATTATTCTTCCTTCCTGGTGCCCCAAGATTAACCTCCTGGAGGTCAGCACAAAGATGCACAAAGTTCCTGTCTCTGTGGGGAAGGGGCAGGCCCAGATCTAACCTGGGTGGTGAATGCAAACCGGACCCCTGGATCTGTCAACAATTCTGAGACCTTCCTCTCCTTATCCTGAAGGCCTCTGTTGCATACAGCCCCAGGGTAAGTCGTACAGGCGCCTGTGGCTCTAGATCTGCCACCTTTCCCGGCCTGTTTCCTCCCAGTACTCCGACCAAAGCTGGGGCAGCTGTTTTTTCCACGGCCAGACTCCCAATTGGGACGGACGGAATCACCGCACCGCCCAGAAGAGACTCTCCTGGCTGTCCCAGTGCCTCTGGATCCAGGTGGCTGAAGCGTACAGCAGGACCACCGAGACGTTGGGACCTCCACGCTGACTAGAGCGGTCCCGGAAGTGCTCGGGGGCAGGGGGCGGGGCTCCGGGCACTCCGGCGATCTCAGCAGCTGCGGCGGAGTGAGGCCGCGTCTGCCGGGGGTTGGAGCGGGTCAGGTGTAGCCCCGCCCCTCCCGCGGCCCCGCCCCGGCCCAGGTGAGCCGCCTCGCCCCGCCCCGGCCCAGGTGAGTTGCATCGCATCCGCTAGTGTGACCCAAGTCTTCCTGACCACCTGTCCCTCGGGTGTCCCCGCGTATGGGTGTCCCTAATCGGTGGGAAACCTGTAGGGGCGCTGGGGAGCGCGTGTGGGTCTGCGGCCGCTCCCGGGCCTCCAGTCAGGAGATCCTGACCGCACTAAGGGTTTACCAGGTGTCCAGGACCTAGGGGCTACCTGGAGGCTGGGGTGACGAATGCAAGAGGAGCTGGGAAAGGCACCGAGAGAATTGGGAAACATGGAGTTTCCAGACCTTTGTATTTTCGGTCCAAAAACATGTAACACATTCTTGGGGATAGATAAAGGATTACTAATTTTTTTTTTTACTCCTGAGTGGAGACTTCAGCGGGTAGGGACTACATAGTGACGAACAGCCTCTAAGGAGGCAACCTTGGCAACGCCAGGAGTTAACAGGTGGGTGGAGGAAGAGTTGCAATCCACAGATAATCAGGCAGGAGGGATCAGAGGGTATGAAAATTGTGGAGCAAACTTGCAGAAGCCAAAGGAATAAAGGAGGGATGAGGGACTATGGGGACAACTTAAAAGTTTTCAGGTACTTAGGTAGGCAACGTGGGTTAGTGAAAGGGTGGGCCCAGATTGCCACATCTTCCAGGTTTTCAAGAGGAAGCTAGAGACTTACTGAGTTTTAAATATTGACCATTAAAGAAAAGTCCAACTCTTTGTGTGCCAAACAAAATGTGTCCGTGTGTCGGTATCCCCAGGCTTGACAGTTTATACCTTCTGAAATGTTCTGTTTGGAGGAGGTATTGATTAGCAATGCCAGATGGGGTGGGAAGATGAGGACTAAGAACAGAGAGATTTGGCAAATAAGGTCATTGGATGCTAGTGTTGAGTGCTGAGGTTCCAGCTGAAACTGAAAACTTGGTATCTGTTGTGGTTTCTTGCATAGTGGTATGATTTTCCTGGGCAACACTTAACATCTTAATTGCTAGGGAAGGTTGGGAGTTAGCAAGCTTATTGCTGCAATACAAAGAAGTGAGGAAAAGAGGAAAATGATCCTGGCTAGAGAGTGGAAGGGAAGCTCATAGTTAGATCTACTGTAGAGAGAGAGGGTCTGAGCCAGATAGCAAAGGGGTGGAACTCAAAGAAGAGAACCCTGTGTAAATGAGGGGTTATTGAATTTGAGGTGATCAGTAAGCCTAGGCTTACTATGGGCTGTTGAAGAGGAGAGGAAGGGTAAGAGGAGTCAAAGGGATCAAAGGATTTTTGAGAATACTTTAGTTCTGTGCTTTGCTATTTTTTACCCCTACACCTGACTGAAACTTTTTTTTTTTTTTAAAATTCTGGGGATTGAATCCAGGTGCCCTTAACCACTGAGGCACATCCCCAGCCCTTTTTATGTTTCATTCATTGCTAGGTTGCTGAGGCTGCTTTTGAACTCACGATCCTCCTGCCTCAGCCGCTTGAACTGCTGGGAGGGTTTATAGGTGTGTACCACCATGCCTGGTGGCTGAAACAAACAAGCATACAAAATTTCTAGCTGGGCACAGCAGCTCGAGAGCCTGAGGCAGGAAGATCATGAGTTCAAAGCCAGCTGCAGCAACCTAATGAGAATCTGTCTCTAAATAAAACATAAAAGGGACTGGGGATGTGGCCCAGTGGTTAAGTTCAACTGGGTTCAATCTCCCGTACCCCCCCCCCCCCAAAAAAAAAATCCAAATAGCATGAATTCCATGGTGACCACCTGATTAATTTAGTATTTTTTTGAGTCAATTACTCTCTAAGCTTCAGAGGAAGGATAATACATTTGTATAGAGTTGTGAGGAATAAATGAGATATGCTTGTGAAAGTCCTTGTGTTTCCCAGCACATAGTGGGAAACTGTGAGTTGTGTTGCTGTCATAATTCCATCACTTGAGGACTTCCCATTCATGTAGCAGATAAGTTTCTGAATGGAGTGCTGAGGAGCACTCTTAGGGGACACTGCAGTGGGTGGGAGAGCTGAATAGTCTAACTCCCTTCTTTGTCCCTGCTACAATACCCTTCTTCCACTGGAGCAATTCTGCTTCTGTCTCTTTTATTGGTTTTATCATCTAGACAATTATTTTTTTTCCTGTTTTGATTTTCTCTTTTTTTCCCCTAGACAATTATTTGAATAAAATATTTTTTTTGGCAAAAAAGAAAAATGTGTGGCAGTTGTAGCACAAAATCAGATAACTTTTCCTCCTTTTGATCATTTATTCAACTATTGTGTACATGGGATTGTATTGTTATACTGGGGATTGGGGATTGCATGGTGAGGGAACACAGTATTTGCCCTTAGGGAGCTGGAAGGCTAATGGGGAGGAGAGTATTATAAACATGCAGTATGGTGGGTATACCCATTACCTCAGGTCACTAAGGGGGCATGTCTCAGATAGTCAAGAATCTAAGGGTGCAGAAAAGAGTGGTTATTTGGACAGAGTATGGAAGGACAAGCAAGTGGCAATCTAAGAACAGGGGAAGGACCTTTTGGGAAAATACAAAAGCAGTACAAATGAATGTTGAGCTGGAAAGTTGGTATGTGGGAAAGAGAGACAGGAGAGAAGACTGAGGGACCAGGTGTGAAGGCCCTAGTGAAAGAGCTGGAATGTTAGAAGATCCAAGAATGAAAAGGACTCTGTCAGGCTTGTGCTTTGGGTACTTCACTCTGGTGCTAGTATAGAGCATGGACCAGGGGGAAGGATAGAAGCTGTAGGTAGGTAGCTGGTTAAGAGGTGAGTATTGAAAAAATCCTGGGGAGTTGCAGTCAGGCTTGAGCTGCACAGTGGCAAGTGAGGGCAGAGGGCAGAGGGCAGAGACCCTTTGCATGCTACCCCAGGAAAAGGACAGGATGGGCCAGGTGGGGCAATAATGGAGAGGGTCTAGAATAACTACTAGGGTTCTGAATGGGCACCTGATTGGTGGTTGTGTCATTAACCTAGGGTAGGAGAGAAGTTTTGTCTCTCTTTCCCAAGAAAATCCACCCATAGCATTGTCATGTAGCTGGAGACTTGCCTTCTTTTCCACAATGGCTCCACTTCCTCTTTTAACCTACCTTTGTTTCAGCCCTTAGAAATGATGTGGCATTTGATTGTGTCTATTTGTCTTCCTTACAATTGTTTCTGGTAAGTGAAACTTGTCATCTTAAGGGCAAGATTTTTTCAACCATAGAGTCTAGCAAAGGAAGAAGGTACCTGACAGTTGTTTGATTTGCTGACTTGACAACGTCCCTTGTGTTATTTTCAGATTGTGAGAACAGTAAAGGTGACCCAAAGAAGAGCATTTTTAAAGATACACAGTCATTGGGGGTGATACCAGATTCACAATGGAGGTTCCCTCAGCAACGAAGTTTGGTGAGACCTTTGTGTTTGAGGACAGGCAAGAACTTTTCCCAGGGGAGGACCTGGGGCACCCTTTTCTTCAGGAAAGAGGTTTGGAACAAATGGCTGTTATCTACAAGGAGGTCCCTCTTGGGGAGCAAGATGTGGAACAGGATGATTACGAGGGGAATTTCAGTCTGTGCTCAAGCCCTGTTCAGCATCAGACTATCCCCTCTGAAACCAGACCCCAGGATGAGGAGGTATTTGGTGAAACCTTTCTCCAGAAATCTGATCTCAGTGTATGTCAGATAATCCATGGTAGAGAAGAGTCCAGTCCACCTGATTGTAAGGAAGCAGGCAGGGGGTACTTGGGGTCTAAGGTATCTCACAATATCCCACAGCCAGCCAAACCCTATGCATGTCATGAGTGTGGGAAGGCCTTCAGCCAAAGCTCCCACCTTCTCCGACACCTGGTCATCCACACTGGGGAGAAGCCCTATGAGTGCTGTGAGTGTGGGAAGGCCTTCAGCCAGAGCTCCCACCTTCTCCGACATCAGTTCATCCATACTGGGGAGAAGCCCTATGAGTGCCAGGAGTGCGGGAAGGCCTTCCGCCAGAGCTCAGCCCTCACACAACACCAGAAAATCCACACAGGAAAGAGGCCTTATGAGTGCAGGGAATGTGGGAAGGATTTCAGCAGAAGCTCCAGTCTCCGAAAACATGAGAGAATTCATACAGGAGAGAGACCTTATCAGTGTAAGGAATGTGGGAAATCCTTCAATCAGAGTTCAGGCCTAAGCCAGCATCGGAAAATCCACACTCTGAAGAAACCCCACGAATGTGATCTTTGTGGAAAAGCCTTTTGTCATAGGTCCCACCTTATCCGGCATCAGCGGATTCACACAGGGAAGAAACCTTACAAATGCGAAGAGTGTGGGAAGGCCTTCAGCCAGAGCTCCAACCTCATTGAACATCGGAAGACCCACACTGGTGAGAAACCTTACAAGTGTCATAAGTGTGGGAAGGCCTTCAGCCAGAGCTCGTCGCTCATTGAGCATCAGCGGATCCACACGGGGGAGAAACCCTATGAGTGCTGTCAGTGTGGCAAGGCCTTCTGCCACAGCTCTGCACTGATTCAGCACCAGAGAATACACACTGGCAAGAAACCCTACTCCTGCGAATGTGGAAAGGCCTTCCGGCACAGGTCAGCTCTCATTGAGCATTATAAAACCCACACCAGAGAGAAGCCCTATGTGTGTAACATGTGTGGCAAGTCCTTTAGGGGGAGCTCACACCTGATCCGGCATCAGAAAATCCATGCTGGGGAGAAGCTGTAGATGGGGCCTTTTTCCAGATGTTGGAAGCCTTTGCCAGATGGAGCCCATACATACATTTCTTTGTCTCTTAGACTCCACCTACCTCCCTGATAACAATGCTGGATGGAAATTCTCCCACAAGGCCCTCCTGACCATTCCCCCTAGCAGGAAGGTTCCACATGACACCTGGCCAAGCACACCATGCTCTCAACAGGCTTCCTGGGTGAAGGGAGGATGGGATAATAGGGAAGTGAGCCCCCAAAGAGAACAGGTTTTCAGTTTCTCATTCTCATTTTGACTCTCAAGCCTATGAAATTTTGTTTTGCCCTCTCTTCATTTTTTTCCAAGTCTAGAAGAAGAAGAAATTTCAAGAGGCAGAAAATTTAGTTAAGCCCAGGAAAATGTCAAATGAACTTTAAATCAGTCTGCCTCAGTCTGACACTTTCAGAAGTTAGAAACCATGCTTACAGTCCAAGTCAGCTGAAGAAAATGAATTCAGTAGATAGAGCAGAGGCAAAATAGAGTTGTTTGCCGGGGTTGGGCATTAGGGAGAACCAAAATAGGTTAATAGGACAAAGGAGGGTGAGAGGGATTGGGAGTGACAGCAGTGAGCCCTTAGTGTGGTCTTATAACTTATCATTAGGGAAGATTCTGTCAGGTGGCTCTGTCATAAGAGGATGGAAATTTGGTCCTCTTGTGGGCAAAGTATATTCAACATCTGGCTGTGACTTAGCTGGGGACGTTGGAAGCAGGTGATGAGAGGAAGAGGCTGGGTTCAAGTCCCAGGACTACTTCATCCTATTTGTATGACATTGAGCAAGTCCCATAACTTGCCCCAGGGTCTGTTTCCCCTTCCAAGGGATTGGGGTGATGGAACCTGGACACTTACCTCTAAGAGTAGGAACCAGGCTACACTTGAAAGTGTTTTGGCAGTTGAGAATGGAGAACCTTAGTGACCCCTGCCTACCCAGAAGCACATTCCCTGCAGACCAGAGAAGTGTCCCACATACTGGGACTAGACACCAACTTGAGCCTTCTGCTGCAGCAGTGTCATCCATGCTCCTGTATTCTCTGTCCTAATGGAATTCACTTGGGGGCTATTTAAAAAGTCCCCTTACCCATGTCCCACTAGACCAATAATTGGCATCCCCAGAGTTGGGTCCCTGACAATGGTTTTTTTCAAAACTCCCCAGGTAATTAGAAGTTATAGTGTGTGGCCAAGATGGGAGCCCTGTGCTGAGCTTTCATGCAGCCCCAACAGCATCTAATGTCAGCCTGCTTGCTCTGGCCAAGCAAGCCTGTTTGCCATTCTGTCTCAGTTTCCTACCCCCAGTCCCCTGGGTATAAGCTCAGGCAGTGATGATTGGCCAATAAATAAGCCCTTGTCCCTGGCCAGGGAATACCCCCTTGATTTTCGTGGTGCTGGGGATTGAACCTTGGCCTTGAACATGCTAGGTGAGTGCTCTACCACTGAGCTACATCCCCAGCATCATGGGTATATTAGTGCTGGCTATCCCTCTTTCCAGGCTCCCAGCTTCTCAGAGGTAGTGGAGAAAGAGACAATCTGAGCTCTTTTGAAGTTTTCCAAAAGTTTACTTACCACTGGAATCAGATGAATTTATCATGGTGATGCTGGTTATCTCAGTTTTTCAGAAGCTCAGTGTGGCATTTATATATAGTTTTGATGAATAAATACGGAAAACCATATTTGTTCTTTAATAAGTGAGGCTTGGTAGGCCAGAGGTTTGGAACCATGGGTGTGATAGACTGGAGAAATCCCGCTAAGAGTTCTGACTGCCCAGTGTCCCCAAGAATCCTGTGCATAACCAGCTGGACTCTGGAGGTCCAGGGCCTGACAGGTGGTCCCAGGTGCTGTTTACAGGCAGCTTTCACTCAAGGTCTTGTCATTTATCAGAAGTGAAGAGAGAATGCTAAGAAACAGTTGGGGCAGCAGGTGGCATTAGGCAGAGTCCCCTGAAAGATCTACCTCTTTTTTACTACCCATCCGCATCCCACCTCAGCCCTGGTCATCCTGTCCTTATCCAGGAAGCGTCCATCAGGGTCTCTCTCTGCTTTTCCTGCGTGTTCCAGCCAAATTGATTTCTAAGCACCACTTTGCACATGTCACCATTCTCCTTAAAGCTATCTTTCAGGAGCTTTTCTGCACATAGATCCTTATTTCAGCCAAACTGATTTACCTCCTCTGAAAAAGCCACACAGAATTCAGGCTGTTTGTTGCCCTCTCTTTTCATGCCTGGATTCTCATAATTCACTTTATGCAGTTCTCACCTTTTGGAGTATGCACTTTCTATCTCCTCTTCCTCCCTCCCTCCCCCTTTCCTTTCCTTCTTTTTATATAACATAGGAATTAACCCATCCCCCAAGGGTTAACAGATTCTTCTGTAAACATGGTTAGACCAGGCACTTTTCTATTTTTTGGATGTATGTATAAGCAGAGCCTTGTTTTGTTTTTTAATTTTTTTCACTGTTCTATTATGTATTTTTTAGAACTATCTTTTTATTTAGATTCCCAAACAATGTAAAGTTATAATAAGATATGGTCCCTGATAATATTTTAACTATTTTTTAATTGAGTTGTCTTTTTTTGCTTTACATTTTTTCTCTTCTTCCTACAGTGATTTATATAGATGTTGTTGAGTGTTATAAAACTCCAGTTTTTGATTTTGTTTGCTAATTTGTTTTGTTAAAACATGTTTTCTCTCTCAGCTTAATACTTTCCAATTCTAAGATTAATCATTTAGATATGATTAATCATTCATATATATATATATATTTGGTACCAGGGATTGAACTCAGGGTTGCTTAACCACTGAGCCACATCCCCAGCCCTAGTTTGTATTTTATTTAGAGACAGGGTCTCACTGAGTTGCTTAGCACCTCATAGTTGCTGAGGTTGGCTTTGAACTCTCGATTCTCCTGTCTCAGCCTCCCAAGATGCTGGGATTACAGCCACTGTGACTGGCTGATTAATCATATTTTTATTATCACTAATAAATGTAGGCACTTTGGTCTATGGTTTTCTCATTATAGTCATAGCTTTGTTTGCTCTCTATGTACATTTTGATGTTTTGTTTTGTTTTGTTTTTTTTTGGGGGGTTGTTATTTCAGCATTGGAAATTTCCTTTTGGCCCAGATGTTTTCTAAAAAATATTCCCAATTGTTTAATGCGTAGGTCTTTGCTGCTTATTTCTTGTACTGTATTATCAACATTTCTAAATGTCCATTGAACTTCTTTGGGCCAGGGTATATTATCAACTTTTATAAAGCATTTGTGTTCTCTCAAAAACTGTTTTTATTTCATCAGTTCTATTTGTCAACTCAATTTTTGGATTATTTAATTCAAATCCATACTCTGTATAAATTTCATTTATTTAGAGATTTTAATCTGGGGTCTAAGGAACTACCTGGGACTAAGCATGAAGGGGATTTAGGAGCCCCTAAGAATTGAACAAGTTGTGTGTGTTTGTGGATTAATGGATTGTTTTGGGAGGGGGCTTGTAGCATCCATCATCTTTTGAAAGTATTCTGTGACCCCCAAACAGTTATGAACACTCATTTACCTGGTCTAGTCCTAGTCTGATTTTTTTTCTTAGTTGTAGATGGACACACTACTTTTATTTAATTTATTTTTTTTGAGGTGCTGAGGATCAAATCCAGTGCCTCACATATGCCCTTCATAGTCTGATTTTGTATGCTTTTTCCTTTTGTTTTTTTTGTGTGATTTATATTTCACTTTTATGTTTTAGTTTTAAATTGTTTTTTTTGTTGTTGTTGTTAATATTATTATTATTATTTTGAGACAGGGTCTCACTATATTGCCCAGGTTGACCTTAAACTCCTGGGCTCAAGTGGTCTTCCTGCCTCAGTGTCCTGAGTAGCTGGGACTATAGGTGCACATTATCATGTCTGGCTTCTATTTCACTTTCAATATTTATTTCTCTTTTTATGTATGTTGGTGTAGTTTTCTCAAATCTTCTTTTGAGAAATAGGCATTTTTAATAATTACATATTAAAAACTGTGCCTTTTAGTACCCTGTTTACCTCTTTTAATGCTTCTAGCTTCAACTTTTCCAAAATTGTGATTGAAGCCTCTTGCTTTTCTTGAATTTGCATTTGCATGATTGAGTTTAGTGTTTTACTTTTTTAACTTGTGTATATATTTTGCTGTGTGCCTGTAACTTATAAACGGCAAATTGTTGAACTTTGTTTTCTGTTTTTTATAAAATTATTTTCTTGTTACTTAAGAAATTCTGTTATTAATATTTTAAGCAAGTCATAATTAATTTTCATCTTTATATTTTAAAATGTATTAGCTCAATTAATCCAAGTAGCCCATGCTCATTTCCTGCCCATCTCTATGAGTTATTAACCACATGTAGAGTGTTATTTCTGGGTAGACTAGAGGTCTGCCTGCTGCTGCCTCTCTCTGACTTCTTGCATTTGGGTTCAGTGTCACACTCTGCCTGGAGCTAACTTTTCAAGTCATAACCTACAGCTTTAGTGTCCTTAGTTGTAAATATAGAAGAATGATGCCACTCTACAACCTTTTGGGGTTCAGAGGTGTACAGAAAGCAAACCTGTGTATTAAATTATGAGGTACAGCTGATTATTAAGCTACTGGTATTTTGAAAACTTTTTTGAATTGAGGGCCTTACATATAACAAACTTGAATTGAGGGCCTTACATATAACAAACATGTACTCTACCATTAAGCAACACTCCAGCCTTACAATATATATTTTTAAGTTCTTATTCTCACTTGCAAAGTTGTTTTAACATTACATTGTGCCTTCCTTTTTGGAAAATCTTGCAGACGTAGCAAAGAAATACACATCCAAATCCATCCCACCTCCCTAAGTGAACCTGTAATGGTCATTTGAAGAGAGAGGGGGAACTTAGTCTCATCTCCCTTTCCTATCACCTTTTTGTTTCTGCCCAGGCCTTCTCATGCCACTCCACCCACCCACAAGACACTGTCAGCACCTTCTTCAGTGGGAGGAGGGAAGTGCTGTCACAGCTGCAAAGGCTTATGAGAATGGTCACTTCTGTTCACTCCAGTTGCAGGTTGGGAAATTAAAGCTGATGACTTGCCCAAAGTATGTGGTGATTTAGTGTCAGATCTACCCAGCAACCATGGGGAAGAACGTTTCTTAATATAATATTGGAGCCCTAGTCTGTTGTAATC